AATGAATCGCAGCTAAAGGTTTTCAGGTTATTGACGGTTTTCGACACGGCGCTCGAAGTAGATTGAGTGTCTAACAAAGCACATTCCTTAATTTACTTGTTTATCGTGAGTTTGTCGCTCCGTCTAGGAACCAGTCTCTGTGCTATCTAATGACATCCTCTATCATTTATGCAAATAGAAATCATGGTGAGGCGTGACTCAAATTTTCGCTGCAGTAGACTCGCCTACTTACACAAGGATAGCTCCGCGTCGCAGCTGTTGCGTAAGGATTATCGGTTTGCTTGGGGAGGTATGAGTGAAAATTTACAGAACCAAATACCTTCAAAAGGCATGTCATAAATTCGTTATTAAGTCGGCATTTTAGTTAGACTATTGGAAGTTTTTTCTCACTTGACATTGAATTACTGGTGTCTATCAATGTGCGTCTGATCGCAGGTGTGGTGTCGCCGCAATGGAAGTTCAAATCATTGGTTGTCGACGAAGGTAAATGCGCAAAACGAATATCGTTGAGGCAGGTGGTGTTCTGAGGAACGAGATAAGGCGCTTTTTAAACCGGTCGGTTTGTTTACTCTTGATTGGCAGCAACGACTGGATGCAAGGTGCTCGTCGGAAAGTCAACTTACGAAGTTATCGCATGGCTCTTCTTAGACGGAAATCGACGAGGCGGTAAGTGTGTCACGCAGGCAACGACCGACACATCAGGTGGTGGTCTAGGAGGCAACACTAGACTCGAATTCTGACTCAAACTCAGTCTCCTCAGTACTCTCCGCTAAACTCATAGTCGGAGTCTGGCTTGCTCGCCCCCTCTTCAGCTGCGTTGCGTCGACGACATTTAAGTCAATACGCACGTCGAGCAGCACGATCGCCAGACGCATTACCGACATTCTGCGGAGGACCGTCCACCCAGCTGGCAGCACTCGTTGTTCCCTGTTTATTCGTCCCCTCCAAGACATCGGTAGCAGCGTCCAGTGACCAGCGAAATGACCCCTCTCGCCCTGACGCTGCTCATCGCCGCCGTGCTTCTGCTCATTTCCGCGCCGGCACGTGTTCAAGGTAAGTGCAACAAGACAGGAGCTGAGCAAAAACGACATAAAAGCTTCGAACCAGATT